GAGTTTCTCAACTGATTTTGTAAGTAACAACCCAAAAAGGTCTTCATATACATGGTCATTCAAAAAAACCTTCACATAGGAAGACCAAGACCTGGGTTCGAACCCTGCACCTCTGCGTCGTTAAGACAACTCACTACCTAGTGGCGCTGCTCTCCTACGTTTGTAACTAACAACGATTTTAGCCGAAAAAAACGACAATGTAAAGCGTTTTGTGCCCAAAAAAACGGCCATGTCTCGTAAGCCGTCAGCCGTTTTTAGCCAAAAAAAGACCATGTACAGTAAGTAGTTTTTGGCCCCCCAGAAATGACCATGTATAGTTAGGCCTATTTTTTCGTCTAAAAACCCCTTCCTATACATGGTCGATTTTTCTGTGCTAAAAATGCCTTACTACATACACATGGTTGTTTTTTTTCCCGGTTAAAAATGCCTTACGATACAAGGGCGTTTTTTTCGGCGAAAAACGCCTTACTATACAAGGTCGGGTATTTTTCAGCAAAAACAAAAAAACGCCTTACTATACATGGCCGTCTTTTTCGGCACAAAATGGCTTACTATACAAGGTCGGGTTTTTTTCAGCAAAAAAACGCCTTACTATACATGGCCGTCTTTTTCGGCACAAAACGCCTTATTATACATGGTTTGGGTTTTTTCGGCTAAGAAGGCTTTACTATATACATGGTCGTTTTTTTCGGCACAAAACGTCTTACTATACATCAAGGGTGTCAAACTAATTTTTGTTGTGGGGCACATTATAGTTACTGGTTCCCTTCGAGGGCCATTATGACTGTGAAACCATACAAAGAAGTCAAGAGTAATGTTTTATTCAACTATAGTTTAAGTTACTGTAATGAGGGTTTTGGTAACAAGAAAACTCACAATAGCTCTCTTATATATCATATATGAGAATTTGAAATTGTGTTACAAATTTGAGGAAGCATCATAGGAGTCAACATGTTTGATTTGCTTTCGTAGCCCACATCAAATGATGTGGCGGGCCAGATCTGGCCCCCGGGCTTTGAGTTTGACACCTGTGTTATACATGGTCGTTTTTTTTTCAGCACAAAACGCCTTACTATCCATGGTCGTTTTTTGTGGCAAAAACCACCTTACTTTACATGGTCGTTTTTTTCGGCAAAAAACGCCTTACTATACATGGTTGTTTTTTTTCCGGCTAAATACGCCTTACAATAAATACATGGTCATTTTTTGGGTGCTTAAAAACGCCCTTGGTCGTTTTTTGGCAGTAAACGCCTTACTATACATGGTCGTTTTTGGGGCTAAATAAGCTTTACTATACACGGTCGTTTTTTTCGGTAAAAAAAGCCTTACTATGCATGGTCGGGCTTTTTTCGGCAAAAAACAACAAACTACATATACATGGCCTTTTTGGGGGGCTAAAACGCCTTACGATACAAGGTCATTTTTTCGGCAAAAAACGCCTTACTATACATGATCGGGGTTTTTTTTCAGCTAAAAACGCCTTACTATACATGGTCATTTTTTCTTTTGGGCTAAAAACGCCTGACTATACATGGTCGTTTTTGGCAAAAAACGCCTTACTATACATTGTTGTTTTTTTTTGGCACAAAACGCCTTACTATACATGGTAGTTTTTTTCAGCTAAAAATGTCTTAGTATACATGGTCGTTTTATGGGGGGCTGAAAAACACCTTACTGTACATGGTTGTTTCTTTGGGGGGAAAAAACGCCTGACTATACATTGTCGTTTTTTGGGGGCTAAAAATGCCTTACTACGGCGAAGAAAACAACCGCGTACAGTAAGGCTTTTTGCCTCCCAAAAACGAACATGTATAGTAAGGCGTTTTTTGCCGAAAAAAACGACCATATATCGTAAGGTGTATTTAGCCGAAAAAAAACTGACTGTTTATATAGTAAGGCATTTTTAGCCCCAAAAAACGACCATGTACTGTGTACTTTAGTCAGGCGTGTTTTGCTGGAAAAAAACGACCGACATGACGACTTGAGCAATAGCAGCAACAAGGTCAATAATCCGACAAGAGACATGGGATCTTGGCAGTCCTTCACTACTTGGCTTACTAATGAACACATTGGCAGCAGGTATGCACGCTGGAGGAAAGGCCCTCCACTGCCACCTGCTGGAGACACATTAGAACAGCATCATGACAAGACAAGATAAGATAAGAAAACCTTTATTAGTCTCGCAATGGAGAAATTCCCAATTCACAGCAGCAAAGTTATGAATGGAAGAAGTAGAACAACAAAATATAGGAGCTGCTGGAAAGGCACCCACTCACGCGGCGCCATCTTGAAGTCAAAATAACAAAAATAACACAACACAACACATAGGACACAGATAGTCGTGCCTGTCCCACGTAATCCGCTTCAACTCCAAGACGCGACTCCCGGTTCCACATCCGCATCGGCACTCTGCACTAACGCTCCTTTCTTCTCATCGTTGGCTCCTCAAGCCTTGCATCCATCCAGCTGCAGACCGTTCAACAGCACCGATCTCTCCGCTGAACAAAGCGGGGCTGTGAAAATGCTGCCCATTACAGGCGCAAGACACAAGCGCCCCCGGAGCTGTCCAGCAACGACAGTCAAATGGCGCCGACATTCCTCCCAATCAAAAACAGTGCTGGCATACCCATGCTGCCGAGAAGGCAAAACCACCAAGCACCGAGTCTCCTCCTTGATGAATGTCGTGGCCAAAAAATGCTGAAAACAGTCCACATCAGGTCCACACGACGTAACAACAAACACAAAGTGACAAAACAAACAGAAAAACAACAAAAAAAGCAAGGCTCATGAGAGCACTTGCAGATGGCTGCCTACTCGGGCGCCATCTTGGACTTCAATTGGACAGAAGCCTCCTTCAGCAAGATACTGAAACCCCAGTTTTTCCTGATGCGGTGTCATCAGCAGGTGAATGAAGCGAGACTATCAAGCGTTTTGAGGAGCTTGAAAGTATAAAAGTGCGTTACAAGTTCAAGTCCATTTACCACTTATGATTTTATCATGTCTGACATTTATGAGTATGTATATCACCTAGTGTAGCACTGTGCGCAGCAATTCTGGTTGGCAGGGTAATGTTGGAGTATAAACTATTATTGAACATGGAGTTAATTAATTCCGTTGTTAAATTATGTTTGTGAGGATTGAGCAAATTCATGATGAGGTCACCACAGACAGAAAACATTTTCCAGTCACTGATATTGCGATCACGTTCAAGCAAATTTTTAGAAACGTGGTGTGAAAGTATGGAACAATTTTGAGGATCTAAAAGTGTGCCAGACAATTTTGGAGTTCAAACATTTGTTGAAGCTTTTGAAAAACATGACAACGGTGGTTGTTGTGTTGATGTTGTTTTATGTTCCTGGAATATTATATTGTGTGATGTTTGGGTTAATTGTTCTGAATGCAAAGTGGTCAATGATCATCTCAAAAGGTTTGGTGAAAAAAAGCATGAGCTTCAGTCTGTGCTACCGTATGTCACTCTCAATATAATGAATAGCAACTCGACTATGTTGGAGTCCCCACACCAAGTCAGGCTAGTGCTTTCCTAACTCAGCCTTATTGCAGGAACTGATAAAGCCTGCACGGATGAGTGGCAAAATTGTTCAGTTGAGTTTAATTCATGGTGGTGGGAGCCGCTATTATTCATTCAGAAAAGGCATATCCGCATGACTCCACAGGTCACTTTTTTTTTCGATCGAGCGAGATTAGAAACTAATCTTTCCAGTTACTACTAACCGTTTACCAGAATATTATGATTATTTAGGAATAAATCTGTATATTTTGGGTGGCCGCCATATTTGAGGAAAGTTTAAATCAATACGCAAACACATTCATTGTTGTTTCCTGTTGACCAGAACATGGTCAAGGACATCAGGGTTTTTTTAGATAACCTTGAAAGGACATGTTGACCAGATGTAAAATCAATTTCAAAATAAACCTCATTCATTTAAATAACCAGCTGTGTCCTGTTTATTTCCTGTCTGCCTAGAAGGCGGTGTTGCCTGTCATTTACTTTGTTTGCTTTCTGTCTGTCCTTTCAGACAGGTCAATAGTCCTCTCAAACTCTCTGCCAATGACCAAGCCAAACAATTCATTTCTACACTACATTGAAAAAACAGCATGACCAAAATGCTGTACATTTCCTAAAATATAAAACACTGTAACATGACAGGAGAACAATAAAAAACAAAACAGTAAGAAATGAAAACACAAACCTGGCAGCTCTTATGCATGGTCAGGTAAGTGGGTTTTGAGAAGGAATTTAAAAACTGCCAACGGATTGGTCTAAATCTTATTTGAGGTGGCACTTTGGTCCAAATTCTGGGGAGCCATCACAGCAAAGTCCCCAGGATTTAATCTTGAGCAGGGGAGGACCAGGAGGGATGTGTCTTGAAATCTTGTCATGTCCATGACTGTGACAAAATGGGCGTGAGGTGCTCTCACAAGTACAGGTACAGTATACTGCACTAACTCCAACCGCAAAATGGCAGCACGGACACAGACGGTATTACCATAATCGAATACTGTAGAGATGAAAGCATGTATGTATTGAAGGTAATTTGTAGTTTACACCATTCTAAACTCTGGTAAAGGCTTACCCTGGTCACCAATGTCAGTGTAAATCGTAAAATTCTTAGAAAAGCTGTGTTAATTAAGCCATCGCCCCCACGCCGCTTGCAACTTCACTTTGGCCGTTTCTGTCCATTACCATGGCAACCAAGCGCAAAGGTAAAAACCGACTTCGCGCGCCCCGTTGTGCGTGTCACGACATTGCTGGTGCCTTTTTCTACAGTGTGGTTCATCGGGATGTCAAAAGTGAGCGGCACCTGGCCTGGATGTCTTTGCCAGCTTATTTTCTTTGTTGCATTTCAAAATGCCAAGTAGGTTTTTCCCGCATCACTTGCCGTAGCCCAAGCCGGAATGTGAAGATTGGTTGAGAGAATAGTCGGTAATGGAAGCCAAGTGAGGCCGGCACAGCCGCACAAAAAAGAAGGATTAAGATCTCCAAGAAATCATCTTTATTTATTGTAACCCACAACATAACACTTTTTACTGCAGTCGGAGCGGAAGATGGGCAGCTTTCTTGGTAAGCCGCCGGACGTTGCAGCGCCATTGTCGAACTTGCCCGGATGAATAGATGGTGCCGTTTCATCAAACACAAAAGTACCCTGGATTAGTTGATCCTGAGTTCTCTCGTTACACAAGTGTGTTATTGTGACAGGCCTAGGTGAGTGACCTACGGCCACCAGAAATAGAGTTGAAGTAGCTGTGGATGATAGGAACGATTGTCGACTTCTTGAATGTCACGTTAAAGCCCGGCCTGTTCAAAATTCATTAACAACACTCACAGGGAGCACTTGAAGCACCACTTTTGAGTGAGTTACCTGTCTTGTGGAAATGTGGTTCAAATAAAGAATGATGATGACCATTTTGTGAGTTAATCACTTACCAGTCAATACCGCCTTTAAAAGACAGGCAGAAATTTTGTTTGAAAAAAATACAGTGAACTTAAAAAACTGAGGTGGTGAATGATGTTACAATGCAGTCGGAAATTAGGGTACATCTGACTTTTGCGCTAGCGCACTAAAGGCAAGAGATTGGGTGCACCAGTGAAAAAGGTTAGTGTCTCTCTCTCTCTCTCTCTCTCTCTCTCTCTCTCTCTCTCTCTCTCTCAAAAACATTTAACTTTCAGAGTCATTTAACAAATAAACCTCACCGACAATCAGCATCATCATCCCAGACGATGAGCGCACAGAATGGAAAGACAGATACAATATGTCAAATCCTCAAATGAGGCTGGATCCATCCTGCTATCATTTTTGCAACTTCTCTCCCAGCATCCAGTACAAAAGCATGACGAAATCCATTTTCACAAAGTCTAAAATCTCCGGTTGGGAAGTCCTCCTGGATCTCATTATAGTATTGCACAGGACACCAATGGTCTGTTGCTCCATAATAAAATATGAGCTAAAACAAATCAACAGAGATGTAGTTAGATACATCATCGAGAATACGAGCAGCAGGTAAATATTGACAAGCATAAGAAAGGTTATACAGTGGAACTTCAAAGATCAAGCACAATCTGTTCCACGAGACTGGTTTGGATTTGGAATTGAAAGTCCCGTATTTTCCGCACTATAAGACGCACCTAAAAGCATTCAATTTTCTCAAAAGCCGACAGTGCGCTTTATAATCCGATCCACCTTATATATGGTGCTACAGTCTCTTTATATTGCCCATTGAGTTGTTTCCCTGTTAGTGCTTCTATGCTATCTAGTGGTGATGATTCGCATGAACCAATTGTTCTGCCCGACACGAATTGACATGTGCATTCGGTAACACACATTCAAACAGACAACTATTTTTTAAGCTCTGCACAGCCATTATGGAATGAAGATAATACCAAAAGCATAGTTAACTACTGATGAAACGAAGGAAGGAGGAGACAAGCAGGACTTCTAAGGATATTTAGCCCCTTGTGGATGTGAGCCCACGAGGTTTGTGTACCTTTTTGTTGAATCGTCTTGATAACTTTTGCTTTTCATTTATTGTTTTGAAATGCCATTTGTATCGATGTGTTTCATGTCCGTATTTGTGACCAGTTCTCACATGTTGCCAAGAAATAAACCCTGTATTTTTATGGACATCGTGTTGTGCTGCATGCTATATCCTGAGGGAGCTACAAATGGATCAATATTCTGATTTCTTGGACAAAGTATTGTCACTGTTCTGTAAAGCGCTATGTTGCAGCTGCAGCGGTTGTGAAGGCTCTATGTAAATAAAGATGGATTGCACTGTATTGTATTCCTTTAGCGTAGCTCCATCGAGTGGATGTATACCATAACCGCAGCCACTATTGTAGCTTCTATTCTATGCGCCTTATAATGCAGTGAGCCCGATACTTTATGTGCACTTTATACTCCGAAGCGCCTTCTAGTGCAGAACATACGGTAATTCACTTTCAAAAAAAGGACGAGATAAACGCATGTCTCATAGATTGCATCACAGATCAAATTTTTTACATTAACTGTCACACAGTGTCAGAAGTTAACAACTAATGGCTTAAAAATGTTGAAACAATGAAGCGCTTCACCTCATTTGCCAAAAGGCGAACAGCACTTTGAACAGCTAAGCTTTTCATTTCCAAAAGCGTGATGCATATTTTTCATCAGAATGTGGGTCATTTTTTTTAGCTTGACAACCATTCAAATTAAAGTAGATTCAAGATCTACAAATAGCTCCTAATATATTCCTGAAACACATCTTACCTTTTCAAGGTTTTTCTTAATGGTCACATTATCTCGTTGCAAAACCTTCCTCATTTCCTGCCCCGCCATGTACACAGCATTAGCTGCAAAGGGGAGAAAAAAAGAAATTAAGACTACATATTCCGTGACGTTCAGGTTGAGTTAACATTCTTTATTATTAATTATTCCAAGTTTAATTCTACTGCGATTAACTTTTTTTCAACATCCTTCTTTTTTTTTTTAAGTTTCCGAAGCTAATAAATCGGCTTTGGGCTTTTACATGTATTGTGCTTTTCCACCTAAAAAGCACTTCATCACTGACTCCTCATACACCTACTGATAACGCACAATCAAGAGCAACTGGGGTTTCAGTATCTTGCTCAAGGACGCATCAACATGGTGATTAAGGGCCGGCGATCGAACCCACAACATTCGGGTTGGGAAAGGATCACACTCTACCACTGAGCCATGCTGCCCCGAAAAGTTTCAAAAGGTAGAAAAAGATATAAGCCCCGTTCACACGGCAACGTGGTCCGACGCTGCACCGAAGCAGCGCCAGTCGAGCGTTCACACGTGCACATTTGTTCCGACGTAGCTCCACTAAAGAGCTTATACCGGACCAAATTTGATCCACCTCAGGGAGGTGGTTTAAAAATTTGCTCCAGAGCAAATGCTCGTTTGCGACGCTACGCCGGAACAAATGTGCACGTGTGAATGCAGCTGGGTATAATTTGCTCCAGAGCAAATGCTCGCTTGCGGGGGAGTGGCCTCGCTACGCTCGCTACCAGATGCACGGAATCCGACCCCGGTCGACAGTGACGAGGGGGCCAGCGACACAGACGAAGCCCGGCCGTGCACCCCCGTTCCCGGTAAAAGTGTCGGTGATTTAAGCGGTGAAGACAGCGCTCACGATCAAGAAGAGAATCGAGCCCGACCCGACCGGGCCCGTGGGTATTAAAGCCCGACCCGGCGGGGTCCGATTTGCAGGCCCGAGCCCGAAGCAAACCCGACATTTCATATTTTATTTGTGAGTATTTTTGGGAGAAAAAAAAACACAAGATTTCTTACGTTTAAAATAATCTACATATTTTTAGGAACATGATCAATGCATTTGCACAACGAAATAACGCTGAAATACAGAATAAGAGGCCAGACAAAGAGAAATCTCGATGCGCATTTGCTTAATTACGCAGAGAAATCCTGCGGCTTACTAGGCTTTAAATAGAATAATTCAAATCAAATAAATAGGTAAAGATATCTGAAATTATTTCTACAGGATTGTTTAAACGAAATTAACATACGTGCGCACTGGTCTGGCCGGCCGCGCTCCTGCTTAGCAGTTAAATAGCAATTAAATTACAGCGCATTCT